TTGATATGTGCTTGAGAATGGCTTAGTCTCCGGTTAAACCCAGGTTTAAAGCCTTGCAGGGCAGCCTAAAGCCCACTGCCAACATTAAGACAGAAAGAAGAAAGAAAATAACAAACCATCAGTTCAGGGGTTTGAGAAAATATGGGAATCAGGAAATTGTCTACAAACCAAAATGAATATTTGTTGTTCTCGACTTAAACTATTAAGATTTTAAAATTGAAAAAAAAAAAAAAAAAAAGTCCTTTTTTATGTTTTTTATTTAAAAATTCAATGTATAACATGGATGCATAAAAACCTCTTTTTATTTCAGTGTTAAATTTAAAGTAACAGATTATAATTAAAAACATCTCCGGTCCTTTACTGGTTGATGATTTTCTTTATTTAGACGCAGCTGATTTTTAATTGGTTACTCTTGGTTTAGATTAAAGGCTGATTTATACTTTGAAAATAGGTCGTCTGCGTAGGTGGAAGCAATGATGATTCTCTGGCGTTGTGGCGTGGAACAACTTAGCGCAGACCACGCTTTAATATGGGGCATAAATCAAAAATGTCTGCATCAAGTTCACTGCTGCAGGAGGATGACCAACCCTTAAGACAAACTATATTGTCATCTTGTATTCACAGAGTTTATACAAAAAGAAATGTTGATGCATAGAGATTTTCAACAGTTAATGAGCAACTTAGCAAAGAAATAAACAAGCTGGCAAAATAAATATACTTCAAATACAACAGTAGGGATGAAACAATTAAGATTAATCTTGATTAATTGATTATAATAATCGTCAACTAATTTACTAATCTATTAATTGTTAACTGGAGTATAGAGACAGTAAAACAGTTTTACAGAATTGGCAGAACTCCTCCAGTGGAAAAGTTTTAGTTTCACCTGATTTGATTCTGTAAAAAATCTTCTTTAAGGGACTTTTAGATATTGGATTATTAATAAAAAAATCAACAGAATAATCAACTTGCAAAATAATCATTAGTTGCAGTCCTATATTACCAAATGTTTTATCCAATGTTTTGTTAAAAAATGTTTTCGCCCTTAATGTTAAGAAAAAAAAAAAAAAGAGAAAACTAATCTTTAAAATGAATCTTTACCCGATCAGATCGATCAGCTTCCACGGCTGATGAAGACGTTATAACTAAATGAAATCTCCTTAAAGGATCTTTTGTATTAGTCGCAGCATAAAAGACTCTGCGAGCCGTTCGCGTCCATTGGAGCGGCGTCCATCTCCCAGCCTACCTGGTGGTCGAACACCAACTTGGGCCCTCCATCTGCCGACGTGTCCTCGCTGAGCAGCGTCCAGGTGTTGGCGTTGATGTCGTAGCGGTAGAAGTCGCTCTTCAGCGACTTGCTGTTCCTGACGCTGGAGTCCAGGTAACGGCCCAGCGTGTAGATCTGTCGGCGCTGAGAGTCGATGCACATCTTGTGGCAGGAGCGCGCGCTGGGGCCGTTCTGCTTGGTGGACAGCAGACAGGCTTATTATTCTGGATCCTCTTTAAAACAGACGAGCGACTCGTGCTGCAGGCGACCTCCTCACCTCTTTTTCGGTGTCTCTGGAGATGCAGGCCCACTGGTTCTCCTGAACGCTGTACGCCCAGAAGTCTGCCAGATCCTGTGTGCCGTCCCAGCCCCCGAACAGGTAGACCGTCTCTGCAGGGAGGACAGACGCATCAACCTTTAGCTCACAGTTTCAGGTTGATCAGAGGAGATCTGACATCACAGCGACGCACCAGAACATCTTTTTCTGTTTTAGCAAAGCAGAACCGACACAGATCTTCCTGGATCACTGAGATTCTTCTTCCAAGAACATGAAATCAGAGATGGACTAGTCCAATTTTATTACGTCTATATAAAAGGTTTGTTGCAGCCGAATGAATGAACTTTTATAGCAGGCTTAAGCTAGTAATGCGTACGGCCGTACATTATGCACCCTTTACTAAAAGTACTAGAAATTGTACACCCCGTTTTTGNGAGGACTGACATTTTTTTTTAACTGAGCTTTAGAAAAAACAACCAAGACGTTCGGACCGGAGCGGCTGAAACGTACCCATCCCAGAATCCTTCTTGGTTCCATCAGAAATGATTTCCACATGATCTCCGTCCACGTCGTAACTGAAGAAATCATTCAGGTACGTCTTCGACCTTTGACCCCCAAACACGTACAGGCAGCGGTTTCTCTGTTGGCGGGAAAAAAAGAAACCACAGAATCAGCAACTGGTCAACATCCGCGAGGTGAAAGCTCTCCTCCAATCAGAAGCCCGGACTCACGGTGTGGAAGAGCATGCAGTGGCCGATGCGCGACTGAACGTCCTCCGGCCCCGCGTTACACGAGTCCTCCCGTAGGAGGCTCCACGTCCCCGCCTGGCAGTGATAGGCGTACAGGCCGCTGAACTGCGGCTCCGTCGTCCGGCTGTCCTCCACGCTGCCGTTGCAGGTCAGGATGCGGCCGCCGAACGTGTAGATCATGTGTTTCTCCGAGTCCATGCACATCTGAACGTTAACGCATAAATATTTCACCGTTCTTTCACTACGTCTCTAATTAAGATATCAAACATAAAAACCAGGAATATAAACAAACAATCTACAGATGATTAATTCTCCATATTATCGTTTATTAGATTAAAATTTGCAATCTGGCAACGAATGCTGGATTATAGAGCTATAATCTGAGAGCATGTCAGAGCGACATACCCTGTAGTTTAATGTTTTTACATCTCTGCTTGTTAGAAAAACTGGTTTTAGTCACCTTTCTTTCCAGATACCAACAGATTCCTGTTTGATTATTGCAGTAATTTTAATTAAATGTAAGAAAAGATGTTTTGGTTTGTTTTAGAGCTGCAACTAACAATTATTTTGCAAATCAATTAATCTGCTAATTATTGTTTTGATCAGTCGATTAATCATCAGAGTGCAAAAGGTTCCTTATCAATGACTTTTTATTAGATGAAACCAGGTGAAACAAAAATTTTTCCACCTGAGGACTTCTAAATAAAGCAGTTTTTTTTTATATTTTAAATTAAAAATGTTCATATTTTCTACAATTTTGGTATAATTCCTGCTCTAAGTGTGTCGCTCTGTCAGCTAAAGGCTGTTTTACAGCCTCTATAGTCCAGTTAACGATGAATCGGTTACTAAATTAGTTGATGATTTGAATAATAGATTAATCCGATTTATTTTTTCAGCCCTAATTTGTTTAGACCGGAGATCATGGATTAGCGGACCGCGGTCCAGATACGGAACTATCCTGATTTAAAATATTTATAAATTACTGCATGTTGTCCGACCACAATGTCTAAATCCACTTGCCCCTCTTCTCCTGTTAATACGGTAAAGCCCTGGGGAGCGTCCGGCTCCAGGCTGAACGTGAT